ATTACAAGAAGAATGGAGTAAAATTTCAAGAAATCAATTAATGAATTATATAGAAAGTATGCCACGAAGAATAGAAGCAGTTATTAGAAATAATGGATGGTCAACAGAATATTAATTTATATATAGATATTTCATTACATAAAATATAAATATAACATATTAAAATTTTAAATATAATTATTATGTAAAATTTTGTGTAATTAATAAATAAATGATATGCAATACTTTTGTTCAAGTAGTATATATATATTAGTTTTTCTTTTAAAAAAATTTTTTTGTGTTCCAGTAGGACTATAACATACTGGTAAATGCCTGGTACATCTGTACTAAAGTCACAGGTTCAATTTCTAATGATGGCAAAATTCCTATGAATCTATTTCAGTGGTGATCATAGTAAGTGTAAGTTGCCTTACTACTATAAACAATTCATCAAAGTATTATAGTACTACAAAATCTTACTGGAGGTCTAGGGATCCTGTATAGAATCATCACAAGATGATTTGTCTCAAGATTTTAATAGGGGATAGATATGATATCAGTAAGTATTAGTTGCCTGACTACCAATACACAACCAGTTTGACCATAAATTTCTCCCTAAGCAAACAAAATAATCTCTGCTGATTTATTTACCAACTCCAAAAAACAGATATTTTCAAAAGATTTTATATCTTTCTGATAATAAAGTCTATACACTTTTCTTAACAACACTGGTTTCTTAATCAGCAGAGCAAGCAACAGCAACCATTTGTTTTCCTTTTCTTTTTCAAACACCTTCTTGCATATTTATGCAACTAAATACAAGAAACATATTCAAAAGGTTTATGGCAAGAACACCTTTTTAGGAAAAAAACTAACAAGAAAAAGTACTCTTCAAAGACTTCCAGAAGGTTCAAAAGCTCAGAAAAATAAAGAAAAAAAGTCTTCAACCTTTATATCATCTTTCTGGTTTTCCATTTCTTTTTTCTTAAGTGTGTTTCCTTTTTTCTGATTTTTCTGGGGAATTTTGTTTACCTCAGTTTGACTCTAAATTTTTGGTTACACTGGACTTTCCTGCAATATGATTGATCAATATTACAGATTGGTTGATCACATCAGCCACAGAAAAAGTAAACAAGATACATCCTCCCACATGTTCCAAGTCACATAATATCAAATCAATAATATGATTAGTTCTAGAAAAAGTTGAATAGTTTTTTAGTCGAAGAAGTAGTAAGGGAGTTTTGGATAAAGATTGAAGTTGTGAGTAGAGGAGAAATGGTTTCCTTTTTGTTTTTCCCTTTTATTTGCCTCTTTTTTTTCTTATTTTATCTAGAGGACTAGAAGTAACTACAGGATTCAAATCCTATTCTAATCTGATAACAAGTTAAAGCATCAATTTTTATCCCAAAAATGGTTAAAGAAAAGGATCTTGAAACTATTCACTGGTTGAATGAAGCAATAATTCCAGAAAGATATGGCTTGGGAAAAAAAACAATAATAGAAAATCAATATTCTTTCTGATCAAAGTCTTCAAGCATAAAGTTTCAAGAAATACTTTCCAGAAAATGTCCTTAAACATTTTTGGATATCACCTGCTTCAATAGAAATTAAATAGTCTAACTGATCACAGGTGGAACAAGTGAGTATTTATAAGAAGTCTGAATTTTGTTCACTGAGATATCATTTCAATAATAGATAAAATAAATGATAGCTTTTATTTTTTTTTTTATATTATTTTATTTATATACATTTGTGCTGTTTTTTCTACCCTTATTCCTTTTTTTATCCCTTGCCTCTTGCATAGTTTCTGCAAAAGGGGAACAACACAATTTGGGTTTATGGTTGTAACTATAGAGGTAATCTGCAGGTTGTAATCCTTATGATATAACTGGATCTTAATCCTAACCATCAGGTTAGCAATATATCACTCCCATAAATCACATCTAGAGGCTTAGGCTTAAGATAGGTAAGCTGGATTGAGAAAATTTGTACTTTGCATGTATTTATATGTGTATAAATATACAACACTAGTTTGTGAGTTAAAAAAAAAAAAATTTTTTTTGTAATTAAATAATATATGTTACAGTAATAACAAATTTATTATAATTTAATAATTATATAAAAATATATATATAATTTCAAGAAAAAAAAATTGTATCAAAAATTTTTATTTTAAATAAATATTAATTAATAATTTTTTAAAAAATTTAGATTATAATAATATTTAGATTTTGTTTAGAAATTTTTTAAAGATAAATTACATTTTTTAACATTTTAAAAGTGCTTCAATATAATCTAGTAATTTTTTTTTATTTAAAATTAAAATATCAAATAAAAACAATATATTATTTAATAAATTAATTTATTATTAAAGCAAAATTTTATAGTTTAAATTTTATTCAAATTCTACTGTATAAAAAATATAACAAGCTAATAGAAATTTTACCTCGATTGTTTAATTACCTGTTGTGGCTTACAATTTTACGCTTACCTTAAATTGTACACAATGAACTGCTGGGCATGATAAATTACCCTGCAAATCCCTGCGCAGAATACGTTGTTGTTTTGCTTCTCTTCAGGTACCCAACATGAATTCTCTTGATTTGGAAAAACTACCCGACTATTATAAAGTACTTGAAATTTCTCAGACTTCATCGTCACAAGAAATTAAAAAAGCTTACAGGAAGTTAGCTTTGAAATATCATCCGGACAAAAACATAAGTTCTGTGACTACAGATCAGAGCGAAATAAATACTCGTTTTATTTTGATCAATGAGGCCTATAATGTTCTTGGAAACGATGAATCTAGGGGGGTCTACGATGAATTACGTCGTACAGGCAAAACATTTTCACAACTTAAATATTCCAGCGAAGAATATAGATATCATCGAGAAGTGCAAGGCATACACAAGTTATATCGTGAAATTATGGCGAACAAAGAACAAATTTTAGAACTATCAGAGACTTTTATAAAATCTGCGACGTCTCTTGATTGGATTCCCGATGGAAGTGAAGTTCAACCCTTTAGTGCATTTAAGAAATATGAGAAAGAGATTTCGTTGATTGAATCAAGCATTCTTATAGGATCCAGTCGATCCTTTAATGATGAAAATTCAAAATATGACGAAATTACTTTTGAATATGTTCCTGAAGATGACGTTATACAAGTATTGGAGAACCCTTGTTGGGTATCTATTGACAAGGATACTTTAATTCACGACTTTCAACTTTCGGATTTTGTAGAATCTCATAAGTTCATTATAAAATCCGTGACAGATATAGTTTCTCCTCTAATGATGGCTTGCACATATGGAACATGGTTAAATGATAATATAATGAAAGTTCTGCAAAGGGTTAGATCCTTACAAATGCAAATTATAAAATATTTAGAAGTTATTAATCAAAAAATAGAAATAGATGGGCGTGGCTTCGAACCTAAAATCGTCGATAAGGTTTATATTTGTTTCTCAATGTTCAATTGTTAATCAGAAGTGCAATAACTTAACAATTTTTTTCCTAGATGAAAGCTGGAATTCAGACTCAAATGAAGAGTCTATCTAATCATCCTATTTTAGGTAAAATGACTACCGGTAGATTTGGTCAGAATAAGCATCCCTTCGTCCATTTAGCCGCAACCATTGGTCCACCATTTGTTGGATATTCACTTTATTGGTCTGTTCGTTCAATGGTTTGTTGTTCTAGGTAATTATTTTTTAACCAAATGACTTTTTCTTTATCTACCTTAGGTCCATTTTTGCGATAATTCTCTTGGGGGCAGTGACCATCCACCGTAACGAAGGAGATTTGGAAAGTTTTAATCAATTTTTGGAGATATTTGAAGGAATCATTAAATTACTCGACCAAATCACGGAATGAGAAAATTAGCGATTAGTCGTATTAATTAACTGTATGTGATCTTAAGGAAAAACCCAAAAATATACTGCCACGTCAAAATACTATTGGACCTTTATTTAGCGAATCAAGTTTGCACAATAAAATTAATATAACATCTCAATTTGAGAAGTAATTATTGAGATTTCTAATTTGCAAAAATAATGTTCGAAATAAACAATTACAACTATTCTGTCTAATTAGCCTGCTTTTTCTTGCCCTTTTTTGCCGTCACGACTTTAAAAGCTCCTGCCCCATTTCCAGCATAATCTTCTTTTGAACTAATATTTCCCGCTGTCGAATCTTTGCTTGCCTTATTGTCCATGTGACTCAGTAAACTATTCATCGGTAAACCGTTAGCATCTGCCTTACGCCTTTTAATAAACTCATCAGCAAACCTACGTCCATCAAGAGTAGGTGAATTGGCGTAGATAGAATCTTGAATGATTTCAACAGTGGCTGGGGGAGGATCAAGCGGAAATGACAATAACATTTGCATGAATTCTTCAACTATTGTATGTAAAATAAAAAATGTTATAATTTGAAATTTTTATACAATTATAATAATAATATTCTTCAATTATGTACCGTTAACATTATTTAGCCCACGTAAAGCTTGTTTACACCATTTTAAAAATTCTTCGGATGGTGGTTTGGGGGTGGAATAATCAGAGGACGGAGCGGCACTTCCGCTGCTTTGATTATTGGACTTAACATTACTGTTTGTGGTCGCATTCTTTGACGTTCCCAAATTTACCCCAACTGCTCGAGCTCCATTTTTTAGAGTTTCACCAGGTTTAACTGATTGATTTTGAACTCTAAAGTATAATAGAATATCGAAAAATCAAAATTGTTTAAAATAAATACGACTTTATCGCAATAATACATAAATAAAGATGTATTCACCTTGATGAACCTTGTAAGTTATTGATATTTTTATGATCAGTATCCCAAACTGTGGATGAATCCTTAGATGCTATACTTGATTTCATCGTTACAGATGAGGTACCGTTTGTTGCTGCGGAAGAATTGGTAGTGGCACGCGTAACTGTCTTACTGGCTACCGTTGTCCAAGCATTGCTTACATTGTTGGTTGGTGTCTTCTATAGATTGAAAAATAACACGTTAAATAAAATTCTTATTTAAGGAAAAATTGATTCAACAAATAACAAATTAACCTTCGGGGGGACAATAGAAACAGTATCGGCATAACGTTTTCCCACATTACTTTGAGTAGTTGTACTACTACTAGACACATTGGCATTATTCAAAGCTGCTTGTTGCATCTCTCGAATCTTATTACGTCTTTTCGTCGCCTCCTCCTCCTCTTTTTGAATTTCTCGTAGTGTTTTTTTTGGAGCAGTGTTATTCGCTTGCCACGCTGGTGTGGCAACGACTGGGGATGTCGATAGTGAGGATGAATTAGATTCGTTTGACGGGGTGGGAACCACTATACCCCAAGATATAGATGAAGGTATCGGGTCTTCCTTGTTAGAATTAGCATTAGTCGTTGAGGTCGAAGCAACTTTTCTTTCTGAAGCTTGCCTTTCTGCAGCTTGTTTAGCTTCCATTTCCTGAATTTCTCGGAGCGATGGTGTCTTTTGTGCAGAATGGTCTTCATCTTTAGCCCATGGTGCAAGAGTAGCATTAATCGTTGATACTGTTGTAGACTTTCTTTCCGGTACTTGTCTTTCAATTCCTTGTCTCTCTGCAGCCTGCTTAGCTTCTATTTCTTGAATTTCTCGAAGAGAAATATTTTTTTGAACAGAGTGATCTTCATCTTTAGCCCATGGTGCTGGAGATGATGGGGTTACAGGACTGTTACCTCCCCAATTCAAATTAGGTTTCTGATATTGCGACAATTTGCCAACAGTATTTGAAGTAGAAGATACCACTGATGGTTTCTCCTTTTCTCCATACTGTTTTTTACGTTCCTCTTCAACCTGAATTTCGCGTAAAGAGGACTTCGAACGATTCAATTCTTCCTTCTGTGTAAGTTGTAAAGGAGGCTTCGAAATTTGTGTTGTGTCCGTTTTTTCTTGATTAGTGACGTTTTCTTCAACCTTTTTACCATATGCCTCTTCATCTCCAAGAACAGGTTTTGTGATAGACTCTGAAACATTATCCAGAGTCTTATTATCAAAAGAAGTCTCGTGAATTTGCCCGCCCATAATATCATATGGTCGTTCGCCAGTGCGACTTTGTAATCCTAAATTATTTTCTTTCCTCAAACCAAAGTAACCAATATCTTCGGATTGTGAAACACGCGAAGGAGTAACGCCGATACCTGGAGCCACGATTCCCCATGGAGAAGATGGAGGAGGTTGTTCCGTTGTAGTCGTCCAGCCGGAAGATCTAGATAAGACATCAGTAAATGGTGAATTGGGTGCATTCGTTATAGGTGCTGACACCGGTCCTGGCATGCCAGTAAAATTTTGATGCTGTTGTCGAAGAAAATTCTCGGGATAAGTGTGTTGATTTTGTTGAATTTGTCTTTGCTGTAACATCAAAAATTGTTGTCGTTCAATTTGTGAAGTTAAAGCACGTTGATGTTCCAAATAAGTTTGAGGTGGAGATACATTAAATGATGCAGTGCCATTAAATAATGGAGGAGGAGAGTTAGGAACTGGTAATCGTGGAGACAAATTTCCAGCATTTGAAGTTGACCCCCATGCATTGTTTGTTGTCCCCAGGTCATTCCACCCATTAGTCACATCATTCCGTCCGAAAACTCCTCCAAATTGATACCTATCAAATGGTGTGGAAGGCACCGAAGCTGTGCCACCAAATGGATTAAACCTTTGTTGATGTTCCAAAAACAATTGTGCTGTACTAGGCGAAGTTGGAGTGGCCCAAGTTCGAGGAAAAGGGTCATTTACAATGCGTGAAGAGTTATTGGGCATAGAAATTGTTAAGGAAGGTCTTGACCCCATTAGAGGAGCTGAAAAAGGTCTTTCATCATCACCAGTCTTCCGAATTAGTACACCCAGTGGCTCAAATGTTGTATCTTCCACTCTTTTAACTAAAAGACTAAGCGCAAAAAATCCATTCTTATACCAGTCATTCATCTCCTGACTACTAAATGGTCCTGAAATAGAATAATACATTAAATATTAATATATTATTTCATAATTTGAAAAAAATATATCATTATTGCATCACCATATAGAAAAATATACCTTGTATGTTACCACTTGGATCTCGATATAGCCATTTCTGTTCTGAGGTTATTTTTCTTGAATCAGGCGTTATTCCACCGCTGGAAAATAAACTTGACGCTCCAGTTGTGTCACTAAAGGCACTTGTTGTACCAATAATAGAATGTGTATTTGAATATTTATTGGATTTTCCAGGAGACATCGGAGGTGAATTTCCCACAACGCTCGAATAGGAAAATGCTTCTTTCAATACATCGTCATCCTGGTCAGGATCAAAATGATGAGGTAACAACAATTGTTGATGTTGTTGTTGCAAAATCTGCTGCTGCCTCTGCAGTAAATCCTGTTGATCTTGTAGGATCTGTTGTTGTTGTTGTTGCTGTTGTTGAAGTAATAGCTGCTGTTGTTGCTGCTGATGTTGCAATTGCAACTGTAATTGCAATTGTAATTGTTTTTGTTCTTGTTCCTGCCTTTGTTGCATATGTATCTGTAGCTGTTCTTGCTCCTGAAATTGACGTTGCATTTTCTGTTTTTCATGTCTTTGCTGTAGTTCCTTTTCTTTTTCTTGCTGTAACTGTAATTGTTGCATTATCACCTGTTGTTCTATTAATTGCTGGTCCCTTTCCCTATCGCGTTCATTCTCACGTTCGCGATCTTTTTCTCGTTCTTCTTCCTCAAGTATTAAATTACGGACATCTTGTGATTTTTGCTGCTTTTCCGCCTCATTATGTCTCAACGATAATGATTGTTCATCTTGTTCCTGTTGATTGAATTTTTCTTGAACATTTTTTTGTTCAGAATTTTCATCTTGCAAGATTTCTTTTCCTGGTGATTCTTGCCAACCGTTTCTATCGTCTTGTTCTTGTTGTTCTGAAATTGTGTTATGATAGTCAAGTTTGAACTTTAGATTATCTTGTGATGATGACTGAGATTCTTTTATAGAAATAGTTTTTAAGCTTTCTTCAATTTCATTGACCGATTCATCTTGAAACTCTGTCTGTTCTTTTTTTGGTGATAGTCTCTCATCTTGAGCAGATTGATTATAGGTGCCTGTATCCGAAAGGCTGATCTGACTTTTCTTTTCAAGCTATTTGAAAAAAGTAATGAGCAACTAATCTATTTTGTTGATGAAGTGAAATTTAAATAACCTTTAAACTAACCTCTTGTTCGATTTTCTTGTTACGTTCAGAATCATCTTTCCTGGATTTATCTATAGATTCGTCGTCCACATTACTTCCTGGGATCCTAAAAACCCCATTGCTATCAAAAGTTCCTATTGCATGCCGAGTGACACCATTCCATACAGGGTCATCAACAGACGAAGTATTTAAAGTGCCAGAAACTCTAGGTGGACGATTGCTACGTGGGCTTGTTCGCTCACTAAGCACGCCACCAGTAATTCCAACGAATCTTTCTGTTCGAGGAGAAGTTAATCCGGTACCGATATGTTTATCTCCCCGCGGGGAAAATGGTACTCTCTCCCTTTCCACTACTCGTTCGTTTCCCGTAACCACCCCTCCTGTAGCATTGGAAACGATACGACGAGTGAGCTCGCTATTGACAGATGCACCTGATAGAAGCTAATTTTAAATTTTTTAATAAATAAGATTAATTATAATAAAATGTTATCAGATTGAAGCGATTTTTCTTTTTAAACTACTAAATTTTATCACATAGTATGGGTGTATACCTTATGTTCTTGTTCTGTTAGCATTATTAAAGCCATTGGCTGTAATGGCTCCTCACTCGTGACATATTCGTGTCTCTCAAACTCTAAGGGTAATCCTACAGGCTTATATAGTTTAAGCATGAATTCCTTGGAATATTTGAAGGGGTTTAACGCAGAGTCTGCACCTGGTACATCCGACTTTTCGGACGCCTCATTGTGAAGCGAACGACTAGTTGTATTGTTGTTACTATTTGCAGCGGCCACAGAAGACCAGGAGAATGTATGTGTGCTAGAACCGTTAGTACCGTTAGTATTGAAGGAAGTACTTGTATTATTATTTGCACTTCCAGAAATAGCTGAAGCATTTGTTGACACATTGGACGGCAACAGCGTTGGTGAAGTCAAACGATTGCTATCACTTGTTGGAGTTTTTGGAAAACGTCTCATCCTTGAAATAAAATTGTGCGTTAGCGAAAAGATTTATTATCCACGATTATTAATTACAGAGGCAGAATAATCTAGATTGCTTCAGAAACTCGACAAACCAAACATAAAAATGAAAGTTCATACGGTCGGTAAGAGTTTGGATTTCAAAAATCTTACCATTCTGGACCAAAGTTCATGGTGTTGCTTGTAGCCATTGTTTGGGTGAAAGTTTGGAATAGCTTGCGGTAAAATGATTTGTATGGTTTCGCTTTTAAATGCTAATTTGCAAGGTTTGTCGCTTAGTTTACGAAAAGGGGCTGAGCTGAAAGTAAAAAAAAAAAAATCGGTTTATTATTGTGCCATGACACACATGATGACACAATCAACAAATAAGATCATACTGTTATATTTTTATAAATAGTATAGTAATAAACAATTTTTTTTTTGAACTCAAATTTGTTCAAGATAAAAGATGGTTTTGTTGATCATTAATTAAATCACCAAGTTATTATTATCTTTTTATAATATACAATATATATAGTATTTATATTATTTATATTATTTTTTTTTGAAAAACAAGTATTTAAATATTTATATATACTGCAAACAGGCATAAATGCAAAACATAAAAGTATAATCTATTATATCAAGAAATTTTATTTGCATAAATTTTTAAAATTTTTTAAAAAAAGATTATATATAAAAATTTAAAATTTTTTCAAAATTTTTAATTAATTTTAAATAGTTTTATTTATATTTAATTTATTATATCAATATTTATATATATATATAAATATTATAACTTTTATTTACTTTTTATTTAATATATAAATTCAATATTGTTAAAAATTAACAAACTAATACAAGACAAATCAATACAATATAGTAATACCAACTTCAAATCTAATCCAAGATCGGATGACACTCTCTAATGGTCCAATCTATACATGTTTCCTTATTACTATAAAAGGAAATTTGATCGACAATACGATTCCGAATTAAATATAATTCTCAATTATTTATTAATTGTTACTTAGTAATACAAACATAATACGGTTTTTGAAAAATGTCTAAATTAAATACAAATACATATATAGTCCAATCCATTACTTTAATTTTCTGAAAGTCCACTAATCAACAATTTACAACTAGACAGTAGCATCAGATGGTGCAAAAAAATCTTAAACATTATCAAAACCTATTGTTAACAGAGAAATTGTATGGAATGTGACCACAGTATGTGATCTGGTGTATCGCGTACTCTGAAAATTGAAAAAAATTAGTGAGGTTGCATAAGCAATGACATAATAATTAGAGTTTAGAATAAACTTTTCATAACTTCCCTTGTAAGGATAGTCTATCAATAGTCTATTTTCCCTTAATTGTTTTCTAGTAGTAACAATAATATAAATAGAGAGAGGCTATGCAAATAAGAAAAACCATTCCTTAAATCAAAACCTTTTTAATTAGGACGTGTAATAGTTGTTGCCAAAAGGAGTAAACTAATTAACTTATCTAATCTAGTACTTGTTACAACTAGGATGCTTGTGATCATGAAGGAAAAAGGAATAAAAATCCGTCAAGAGAAGCAACAATAGAAAGAAAAGGAAAGGGTTAGTAGAACTTGGCTAAACAATCCACATGCCTCAAGTAGAGAAGCTAAACACTTACCGATGTTACGTGAGAAGTGCTCTGGAGAAGTAACAGACTCATCGAGAAAGACGTCAACACTATATAATCTGTGAAAGCTTCTCAGTTCTTAAAATATTTGGATACACCCACAAACCCTAAGGTCTCAAAATTATTAAAAAATCAAACAAAAAAATAAAAAGCTCTAGAACTAACAAATATAGTGACCTTATTGCCTTTATAATCAAATTGCTTTCAGGAACTCTCTTACAAGAGAAAATCTCTACAGATTATATTAAAACAATATCTTGATCTATACTGTTCTGATGTAGCTTACATACTGAGGATATCTAACACGTTTTTAAATATCTATCAGCATTAGAAGATATTAACCAGCTTATTATCATTATTATTAATATTCTTTACCCTGATAGTAATCACAAACCTATCTCACATGTTTAGCAACTAGCAGAGCTGATATGTGGTATTATAAATAACATCTTCTTTATATTTAATTTCTTCAATTGGGTTGAAGCTTCAACTGAAATTTTAGCTCATCTATATAAATCAATTTGGATACTCCACTGTATTACAACAAACACCTCTCCTCTCACTAGTATCAAATGGGACAATAACCTTCATAGTGACACAACAAAACAAACCACCAAAGCCTAGTCAAAATCAAATCACCTAATAACAATTCTATACTAATATCAACTATTATAGATATACCCACTATTGTAGTTAACTCATATATCCAATATGAATTTAACTTCACTAAATACATTTCCAAACTAATTTCAAATCTTTCTAACTTCCTCCCACCCAATTTTAAGTAGATAATCATAGCTGCTTAAAGCCACTTGATGAGATATATTGTTTTAAAAATTTCTTTTCAATATTAGTCTAATGGTTACTGTAGGCAAGCTAACATTTAACTCATTGTACTAATACATATGAGAGATATTGTTTCTTTCACAATATACAGTATATCTATTATTATATAAATAAATAAAGAAATAATGTTTACCTACAAAAAAATAATAATAATAATAATTCATCTAATATATTAATCTATTAGAATATAACTTATATTATAAAAATATTTGAAAAAAGAATCTTATTATTTTATTACTATATTAACAAAATTATAAGACATAAATTATATTTTAGTCTTAAATAATATAAATTTTAATTAATATTGTAAATATATTTTTGACATTTGAAATATTATTGATTACTAAAAGAAATTATAATTATTTATATATTTAATTATTGTTATACTAAAAAATATAATATTTTGGCATTTTGATTTTTTTTTTAGTTAAAAACTCTTTCTTGATCATATCTGTTTTGTTAAAAATTTTTCTTTTATAGTAATTTTAAGCAAGAAAAAATATTGTACTCTCTTTATAGCAAGTAAGCCTTAGCTCAAGAATGCAAGAATTCTCAAAACAACTGGTGCAATAGGATAAGACCTCTGGTCAAAGTTTATTCAAGTTTGGGAGTCTTGCTTATCTTTTGGTTGTATGAGAAAAGGCCTGTGGCAGTTCTCTTTTCTTTAGTTCTCTTGTATCTCTTCTTATCTTTATTCTATTATAAAAATTATCCATATCATTACTATCATATTTGCTAAATCAAATATTTTCCAAAACACACACTCAAACAGAGTTAGTAGGTCTACTGTTTGTTTCAAGTTAACTTCTCATATACAATATTCTTATAGCAATATTTGCTATGCCACTTTCATTCTTCAAAAATTTTTCATTCAAAAAACTAAAATCAGTTTACCCCTCCAGATAATCAGCACTTTTCAATTATCCAATCAGATTTTGTCTAATAATCAAAACAAAAACCAAACAAGCTCAAACCAGTTTTGTATCACAACAATAATCACAACAACAACAACAAATAACTCA